TCTCTGATCACTATGTTGGTGGGATGAGACAGCTGTACAGAGTGATGGGCTCAGAGGATGAGGACATCTCAGTGTTAGAGTCTCAAATAATAGAGTATTTCATCTGTGCTGAAGAGGTAGAGTGGGACTACTCACCTGATCGCACCTGGGAGCTGCAGAACTTCAACACGACTGAGGACAACAGGTCGGTTAATATACATCTTTTGCTGGAGTTGCAGTATTTGAATGGGATTTGTAACCAGATTCTTGTCTCAGTCCCGGCAGTTTATTTGTGGGAACGGGAAAGAACAGACTAGGCTCCAGATATAAGAAAGCAATTTATCGAGAATACACTGATGCAACCTTCAGGACAAGGAAACTGAGACAGCCTCAAGAGGAACACTTGGAGATTTTAGGTGACTTAATAACGATTCAAATGTTTGTTTTGCCTAATAAATCAGGTTTTCCTCATTTGAATTAATGAATGATAATCTGTGTGATAATCTTTATAGGACCTATAATCCAAGCTGAAGTAGGTCAGGTTTTGCTGATCACATTCATGAACAAAGCCAGCCATCCTTACTCAATACAGGCACATGGAGTCAGGACCTCTTCTAAACCAGAGGCCGTCATGTCAGGTAGAGGAAATTGAAACCTCCACCATTTGCCTCCTTATCTCACCTGTGAAATGTATACAAAGACACCTTCAAGGATTCATAAAGCTGTGTGTTTTGAGCATTACCTGACTTCTGCTACGTTTACCCATTACACAGATGAGACATAATGTTCTTGTTGTGAATGCAAATGAAACTCTTTACTGCAGGAAATATGACTCAGTACCGGTGGATCATTCCAGTGAAATCTGGCCCAGGAGTGTCTGACCCAAACTGCATTGCATTTGCCTACCGCTCAGCTGTGGACTTTGTTAAGGTAAAGCTCTTAATAACATAAATAGAGTTTTAATTCCTTACTGAATGACACATTATAATGATAGTTCTTCTTATACTGTATAACAACATTATTGTTGTTTATTTATTTATTTACTTTGCCTTTTTATTGTGACAGTAATAATAATAATAGTAATAATAATATCATAAATAGTATTTCATTATGCATTTGTAATATTTTATAGGACACAGCCAGTGGTCTCATTGGGCCATTAATAATCTGCAGGAGAGGTGTACTGGACCAGGACAGACAGAGAATGGATGTGGATAGAGAATTTGCTCTCCTCTTCATGGTGTTTGATGAGAATAAATCCTGGTACCTGGAGGAAAACATTCAGTCCTACTACAACAGCTCAGAACCTCTTCTGAGAGATGCTGAGTTTCAGAAAAGCAACAAGATGTATGGTGAGAGCTCACAAGTAAATGCAACCCAACCCTATAGTATTTTGCTGTGATATGCTAAAAAAAGGCAAATTATGACCACTAGGAGGCATTATTTGATATATGATGGACTGAATGGGATTCACTATTTGTGTACATAACAGTATAGATGTAAAAAGGACAACTGTAGAAACTACATTAATGTAATTTTGTCTCAGAGTTTTATTTTCTGCCACTACTGACAGGGATCAACGGGAAGCTCTATGCAAACCTTCATGGTCTAGAAATGGTGGAGGGAGAAAGGGTGATTTGGTACCTGTTTGGGATGGGCAATGAAGCAGACATTCACACCGTCCATTTTCACGCTGAGACTTTCACCTACAAGGTGCACAATACGCAATCAGATTCAATAGAATGAAATTATTTTTCAATGAAATTACTAGTGTTTTCTGCAAGCAGTTTTCAAACACTAAACGCAAACATTATTATGACTTTTTCTCAGGCAGATGAGGCTCACCGTACTGATGTGTATGACCTGATCCCAGGATCATTTCAGACGTTGGAGATGGTGGCAGAGGTCAATGGAACGTGGCTTCTGCACTGTCATGTTGCTAACCACATCCGTGCTGGAATGGAGACGACTTTTATTGTCAAACCCCGATCAGGTGAGTTACAGTTTTACTGGCTTGGTCTCTAATGGCTTTATTTCACAAATGTGGACTCACTGCATGTCTGTGGTCTTTTCTTCCGCAGGTGGTGGCAGAGTGAGGACAGATTTAAGCATTCTTTGCTTTCTGCTCACAACATTCATGCTCCGACTGATATGCTGATCTTTCTGTGGACATATACTACTTGACCACTATCTCAACAGATTTATTTCTAACACTGTACCGTTCAAAAGTTTAGGGCCGGTAGTACTATTAAATGTTTTTGAAAGAAGTCTGTAATGCTCACCAAGGCTGCATTTATTTGATCAAAATACAGTAAAACAGTATTGTGAAATATTATTACTGCTTACAACAATAGCTTTCTATTTGAACATTTTTTAAAAATGTCATTTATTCTTCTGATGGCAAAGCTTTATTTTCAGCAGTCATTACTTCAGTGTAACATGATGCTTCAGAAATCATTCAAACATGCTGATTTGCTGAAACATTTCTTATTATTGTCAATGTTGAAAAAAAGATTTTTGTGGGAACCATGATACTTTTTTTCAGGATTCCTTGATGAATAGAAAGTTTAACAGAACAGCATTTGTTTGGAATAGAAAATACTTATATTTAATGCACCTTTGCTGCATTTATTTATCCATGAATAAAAGTATTTAAAAATTGTATTAACCCCAAACTTTTGAACGACAGTTAAATTTTAAAAGAAAAAAAGCTGATTATTTGTAATTCTGAAGTTACAATAAAGGCACAATTTTCATCATCATGATAAAGAACTCTGAGTTAAAATCTAGGTATTTCATACATTTCTGTTAGCTTACAAATCTTACGATAATAAATAAAGGGTCAATATTTAGATTTTGTGAGTAATTTAAACATATTCTATAATTGAAGAAATATATAATATGTTGTTTTGAAAAAAAGAAGTTGAAATAATGGATAGCTAATGGTCAAGTTTTTATGTATCAAAATGAAACAACTACAACATTCAAATGTGAAACTTACTGCAAGACCACCTAGTGAGCGAAGGTCAGTACCTTTTCCTTACACCTTCAGTACGATGTTAATAAGCATTTGCTTCCAATTTTGTTTGAAGTTCTTGGAATAAAGATCTACCTTATTCTTACTGACGTTAAAGGGTAAAATCATGAATTTCTCAAGGCTCCTTTAGACCAATGTGAGAAGGAACTAAAATCACAGAGGACGGCGTTAAAGGGAAAAACAAGTGTGAGCTGATTGGAGCTTATGTAACTGGGTGAGCAGTTGTTTTTGTTCCTCTTGGTTCGTGTGATGTGCTCGTTTTGAGCTCAGAGCTTTGAGTTCTCAACTGAATGTAGTTAATCACGTAGGCTTTAAGTAACCGATGCCCAGTTGAGGATTATGATGTAAAGAAGTGAACCTTGCCAGTAAACATTTGACTTTAAAGTCCTCAAGAAACTTCTTATAATACTTGTCAACACCTGTGAATGGTTCCTATAGTTTCTTATCAAACCTCTGCTTTTGTTTTGCAAAGATAATAGGTCTGAACCCCCGATCAAGCATTTACTCTTCACAGTGATAAAGTATTGATCACATACTTGAAACAGGCATATCAGCTCACTATAGGAAAGAATGCAAAACTCATTCAAATAAACAAGCTAACTGACAAACATTGTTTCCCTGCCATCAATCATTGGTTGTTTTCAGTGTGTAATGTACCACTATTTAGGAAAATAGATTTATTAATTTTAATAACTTTTTTAAATAACATATCCAGCTGAAAACAGTTTACAGATGGTATATTTAGCATGATAAACGTGTGTGTGTCAGCTATCAGTCATATCAAATAGTTATTTCTGATTAGGTTGATCAATACGACTTTGTTATGCAATGATTTCATCGAAAACACCAGACTACTGTGCGTGCAGCTGTCTTGAGAACTCCTTTGTAGAAAATGTGACGTTTAATGTTTGCATCAAGAATTAAAAGTAGATTGAAAGTAATACCCAGTAGCTTTGCGCCATTCAGAGCGGGTTTCCGAGCGCGCGCAAAGTCTCTATTCTGGTAAATAACACGAGGGCGACGTGTTTCGAGAATAACAACCAGAAAGTTCAGTTATCACGCCTCATAATTTTACACCCGGTATCTATCTACTGTAGCCCGGGTGACCGGGTGTGTAGCATACTGCTTAAAACTGGCCAGTTTATGACACGAACAAAACAATAAAACACATTCTGGCCATGTACAATTTAAGCATAAATCTCCTCATTTATCGCTATGTGACAAAAATCAGCAAGGTAACCATAATTTCCGCCAAGAAGTCCAGAAGACCAGCTTAACCTGGTTTTTCAGCAAGGATAGCTTGTTTGTAGCTATGGTCCGTCAGAAAATAAGTTACTATGTTATTTATTCTTCAGTATGTGGTTTGAGAGTGAAACAGTATCGTGTGTTAAGTAACATCCTTTAATGTCACGATTTCAGACACTTCGAGCTGTTTTTGTTGACTTCTGTCGATGACAGTTTACTAGTTTGTTTTTGCTGTCTTATCTGCATTTTGCAATTCAGCATATCACCTCACGTCCGTGACTCCTCACAGAAAAACAAGTTCATGAAACAGTGACATAAAACAATGATTTTGTCATCTTATTACCTGAATAGCTGTAATGTCTTAGAGATTGATTTATCTTCACTTTATCCACCTTCATAATTCAAATTCTAATCTGCAGTTTAGGAAATAACTCTATAATCAATAAACTCGGTCGAAAATATTGATTTCAGCGTTGATGATAAAACCCGTTTATTGAGACGACAAATCTAAAAACTATTTCCTGTACAAGATCGAGCCCAATTCACCCGCTTCTTCAAATGCAAATAAATATCAAGCTCACCTGTTGACGGCCCGTGATTTTTCAGTGCAGCGGCAGACTCGCAGCTGATTGGCTGACAGGTGTACTCAGCCTCCCGATGCAGCCAATAAAATCGTTTCGATGCTTTCCCACATGAAAGCGCTATAAATTCATCCGCTGCCCTGAAACAAATTCTCAGTAAGTGCCGGTAACTGCAGGAGGCAGAGAGAGAGGAGAAGAGGGAGAGCAAAGGCATCAAGGGGAAGACCACTCTGCACTAAAAGTCTACAGAACTTGTTTGCCTGCCTCTCAAAGGTACGTTTTTTTTGTTTTGTTTTATTTATAACTATATATTATTTTAAACAAATGCTTATGTATTAAATGGCCAGTTGGTTTGGTAACAAAAACAAAGAATATTATTATTTTACACACTAACAGTTTTTACATTAAAGTTAAATTACAAAATGTGCTAAACTTAAGAATAATAAGGCATGTGTGTGTTTGATATACAAGTCACACTAAGATAAGCCTAAAACAATGTCATAATTCGACTGTAACATAGCTTAAAAAGCTCTCTTGATGATATTTTGCATCGAAAACAATGTATGAGGTCTGTTGTAATGTGAATTTTGTAGTTTTGGGACCCCTCCCTGTCACTATTGTTACACTATATTGCAAAACAGCCAGAAAGACTTTGAAAGTACCGACTCTGAAAGCGATATGCATAACAAAGAACGTGTGAGTCTTTGAAGTGGCTTTAGTGGCTCATTCACACATCTTAATAATTAAGAGCTCAAGAACTCAAAAAAAAAAAAGTGCATGCTCAACAATTTTAGGAATGTCTTTATTTTAGTTCTATCTACAGTATGTTTCTATATCATCACATGCAGAAATGTTTAACTTGGCCATTCAAATGACTTCAGCACACCTCTCTCTTCTTTATCCACAGATTGTGAGGTCTGATTCCACCAGACAGTCGACCACCCTTTTCCTCTTGTCTGTCTGCTATTCTACTCCTTGCAGCCATGGCACCCACTCTAGCCACCGCATTTGCCCGCCGCTGGTGGATGGCAATAACAGCCATCATTGAAAATCTGCTCTTCTCTGCCGTTCTGCTGGGTTGGGGCTCCTTACTCATCATGCTGAAGTCTGAGGGTTTCTATGCATACCTCTGCACAGATCCAGGTATGAATCCTTCTGCAATATATACATATGTATATAATGTAACACCAAGAACTCAAGAAAACTGGCAAATTAGAAGAGCCATTGAGGAACATTTAGGTTACATGGTATGCAAGTCAAGCTTGTGATCTTACCTTTGAAAAAATTTAATTTAACGCATGATTGTGTTTTATTTGTCACTACGGATATTGGCAAATTCCATCCATTCCTTTGTTCCAATCTGATCTTGAAACAAACACAGCATCTTATAGTACTTGAAAGATCCCACTTTTAAAGTCTCATGTGTATTGTACAGTAATGCATCACTGACAGTAGCGTTTTATGTGGTGTAACTGATTGCGCTCCGCAGCAAAACACTTTTGTGCTTACCTTCTCTAAGGAGGAGGAATGATGTCTTCCCTCAGGAGCCTCACAACCATAGACACTACCACAGACTTCCATTTATTCAGCTGGTAGTCACAGTAAAACACAAGAATGTTAAAGGGCTTTCCACAGGGATCCTGACCTAATCAAGTGCATCTTTAAATTGAGAAGCTTACAGCCTGTCAGATGTAAATTAAGATGTTTATCATCTCAGTTAGAACATCAGACCTGCTGATTATCTCATATTTAATTGATTGAAATGTCTTTGGTATTGATTAGCATCACATAAGAACATGTTTCGGTCTTATTGTGGCTGGTAATGCCCTTTTATCACTGTCCTGTTCTCCCTCGGGCACTTTGGGCTTGATTTAATAAAAGATGAGGACATTGAGACCTATTTAACCACAAAAGCTGGTTTGAAATGACCAAGCAGACAAGAAAAAGGGGGTAGAGGAGGGGCAGAAGACAAGAAAAAGAGTTGTTTGTGAAGGAAACTGTAGGAGGCTTATCGTTTGGGTAGATCTAGAAATACCACTTCTTCTGGGTGGAGTGGTGGGCATCTTACGTGCCTGTCTGTCTGCTTGGCATGGCATTTTTGCATTGGAAAGTGCTTATCGTTCCTTTTTGCTGCTGTCATAATTCCCGTTTTTTGACATTACTCAGCTGATTTGACTGTCCTTTCGGTCAGTCACATTATTGTGACGTAATAAGACTGTCTCAGCGAAAATCAACAGTGTTCAAGAGTATTCAGCAGGCTTAAAGTCCACAGATAAGTCTCAAAGGACAATGTCATGAGATATTAGTCAGCATTCAAATTCTTCGTCTTTGACCATTTTAAATGATGCGAAGCATGTGAGGACTCTTGTGGTTTAGTACACTAGCTGAGATTTCCCATCATGCAATCACTGAAGTCATCATGATAAGAGTTTCACGTTCAAGCTTTCTCAGAAATTAGGTTAGGGACACTTTGTATTGTGTGTGTCTCATTCACTATCTGTTCTTTACATTTTATCAGATCTGGCCACCAAACTAATGGCTGTGAATGAAAAGAACTACCCCTCCTTGTTTTCACTCCCACTTTTGCCCTAATCTGTTCCCAAATCTTCGTATTAATATGTTAATATATTTACAGTTTCCTTTAGGAATGTGAATTTATTGTTAGCTCTTCACCATTTCAAAAATTTAAGACCATTTTAAGAATTTCGATTTCCATGTGACATTCGTACACAGAAAGGCATCACATGGCATTCGGCCCATCAGAAAATAGGTGAAGGATTAGATGAAAAGCAATATTAATTACTTAATTGTTACAGTGAAGACAGTTTATTACAGTGAGGTTAAGTAATAAACCCCTAAAATGAGGTTCAATAGGTTCATGTATGCTCCTCTATCAACACCTCTATCGAATGCACACAATCCCGACCTGTTTTTCTTTTTTTTTTTGAGACCAGGTGACTGCTGTCTCTCCGGGTGTGTCTTGCACATTTGCACATCGGTGTGGCCTACGTACACCCGCTCTGGTGCATCTTTAGTAGGGTTTACAGCAGGAACACCATTCACACATCAGCACAGTTTAGGAAAGAAGCCAGAGCAAGCCCTGCTAGTTTCCTAGCAGTCGAAGTAAAACCCAACCCTTCATGTGTGGCACTAGAAAGTTCACGACTGGGTGCCAAACACGTCAGAACATTCTGCACTCAGTTCTAAAGCACGCTTGGAGTTGGAAACCTCCTCTTGGTTGTAGAAGGAAGACACGTGTATCATCAGGATGACACTGGCACAGTGGATAATTATAGCAAAGTCACTGTTTCCACACCAATAATGGGTAGTATCTTGAGGTTGAAAAGAAAGATTTTGGTCTAATTCACTCACACTTCTTGAGAAAAGTGTTATTTTTTTTAACCACATTTTGCATTTTTCAGAGAAACATCATACTTTTATCACCCATCAGCATTTAAGATGGAAAAACAGCCAGATTAGTATAAGGTCAGGTCTAATTATCTAGTTTATATGTCTCCAGTCCAGTGAGACAGCTGCTATGAATGGAGTGTCATCTAGTTCGGTATCAGTAGTTTATATGTACTGTATGTGCGTGGTGAGATAATGGCGAACAGGATTGTACAATAGTCCAAAAGGACGATTATAAACATTGTTCCTGCAGCAGAACAAGATAAAGGAAGAGCAAATGTTCAGCTTTCTTCTTTCTATCATTCCCAGCCCTTATCTCAGGTTTTATTGAGACCACATAATGGTGATTCCTCATTCCAAGCATTTTACTGCTGGATGAAGGTTGATCTCAGATACTTTGGAGAACAGCTGAGAAGACCAGCTTAAACCAGAATTCATTCCAGGCTGGTTTATACAGGTCTACTGTAGCCGTGCTGTTTATGGGTGAAACCTGTTTAGTCATTCGGAAGTTTTTGTGCAATTTGACTATATGCACACCATAGCTACAAGGTATAGCTCACGACTTTCTTTCTTCTGTGGAACACAAAGAAGATATTTTGAAGAATGTCTCAGTTTCCATACACCAAAGTCAATGTTGCTTAGACCCCAAAGTTCTGCAAATATCTTCTTTTATGTTGCACATAAGAAAAAAAGTCATACCCGGTTTGGAACGACATGAAGGTGAGTAAGTGATGACCTTCACAGGTGTCCAATTCCAAACTCTTAAAGAAATGTTGGAATGTCCTTACCTTAATCCACTGACCGTTCCACCCATGGTGTGTTGAAAAGGCCGTAGAGTGCATGTTTTGAGAAACCCCAGTCAGGAACTTCAAAGAACTATCATGAGGTGTTGGAGTCCACACGTGTTGCATCTGCATGATTGGATAGCAACCAGAATTACAAGTAACTGATGCTTATGTAACAGTATAGGGCTCACAGCAGGGGCACACGTGACAGGTTTTGACACCAACATCTGAATTTTCTCACTCTCACTCTTTATCAACATGATTTAGCAGAAATGGTAACCCGTTGAGTACTGCAAAACAAATGGGTTGGATATCAGGTCACATCGGTGTTCAAGCTGATTTTTGGAACATGGTAGCTGCTGCTGGTAATGGTTAACATGGGTCCCATTAGCTTAGCCTCTTACATCTCTCCTCTTCTCCTTCTTTCTCAAAGGAAACAGCTCGACGGCAAACTTCTCATTACCAGCTGTGCCTTCATCACTGTCGAATGATGCAGATTATGAATATGATGAGTTTCAGCCTGCCCAGCGTGATGGCGGCGTGGAGGTGGTCCCTCTAAACCATCCGGAGGACAATCTGAGGATGAACGGCTGGCTCATCTGTAAAGAACAGGATGAGATGCTGAATCTGGCCTTCACCGTGGGCTCCTTCCTCCTCAGTGCCATCACACTCCCTCTTGGAATTGTCATGGACAAATACGGCCCACGCAAACTCCGCCTGCTTGGAAGGTAGATAACATGCTTAATTTTTCAATGTCATTACTATACCAGTCACATGATGGATAATTTATCAATGAAATGAAAAGTGTGGTAAGGTCAGATCACAATAAAAACGAATGGCCAGAAAAGTGTTGAATTATCCATTAATAACTGACCTTTTCTTTTCCAGTGCCTGCTTTGCCCTCTCGTGCCTTATGATTGCTTATGGAGCCAGCAACCCAAATGGTAAGAACACCATATATGCAACTCAAAGTTCAAATTTAGTGAAACAGATACCAATGTTGTAACAGAAACCAATAATATTCCATCATTTAACATCTGCTTGTTTTTCTAGATCTGTCCGTTTTGATTTTCATCGCTTTGACTTTTAATGGCTTTGGAGGAATGTGTATGACCTTCACTTCACTTACGGTAAGTGTGTGTTAACTTATTCATGAAAGTACACTTCTTTTTTGTTCAGCTCTTTTGATGTGTTTGAACTTGCTTACTCCGAATTGCCTGTAATATTTACATTGCTAATTAGCATAAAAATTGTAGGGGATATGTCCCATTTGATATTCAGATTAGCCAATAAGGGTTTTTCAGTGGTTGATTCTTGCATCGTTACATTTGGTGCCCTTGACCCTGCTACATCCAGGCTAGTTAGACATCTCTGTGTTTCTTTTTCCTCAATCTCTCTTATTTGAGTGTCTCTCAAGCGTGGTGCAGTAGATTAATCATTAGACCCATCTGTGAGTCTTACTTCAGTGTTTTTCCCGCTGACTCGCTCTTGTTGCTGCACTGGCACCATGCATTAACTCCTGATGATGTACTATCCAGTGTGCTGACCCAGTAAGAATAGCCTGCGGTTATCATGCACTCAGCAGAGTCCAAAATTAACTTTTTTGCCACATGTTAATGGCCATGAACTGAGAAAATTAAAGTGTGAAGCCTCAAAATGTGAAGATTGCATTGATGGCTTAATGAAAAGCTTTGTTCTTGTTTGCCATGTTGCATTTCCCCCTTGAAGTGTAAATGGGGTGGCAAATCCGCTTTACAATTAATTTGGAGAATACCTTCAAACCAGTTCTGACAGGAATTCTCACAAAACACAACTCTTCCATTACGAACCTGCTGATCACACACTTTCAGATGCATTCAACAGGACACTCGCTGTTGCTCATCCACTTGTCACAGGAACAAGGCATAACTGTGAGCTGGCTGCCCCAGTCTGTGCTCCAATTAGAGTCATAAAAGAGACTCGGCTTCAGCCGGTTCAGACTGGACGGATCATTCCTCAGTTCTTACTGCCCCAGTTAGTCCTGTTTTATTGACAATGAGGAACAGAAAGTGAAGTAAGAAGGAAGTGTGGATTAAGTGTTCAAAAATATTTCAGGGTCACTGGTAGTGTTCTAATTTTCTTATCATCTGTCAATTGTTCTTTCTCTCTTTTCTTTCTTTCAAATCTCCCAACCTCGTTCTCTGGCTCTAGTCGGTGCCTCTGAACTCAAACTGCTTTCACTGTTGATTTGCTGTGCTTTCGTCAGCCCATAATTGCTGGCTATCTCTCCTTGCCTGTTGCCATTTATAGAGAAAGACTGTGGATCAGTTGTCTTCAATCAATATCAATCCTCTGAATAGCCATAGTCTGAATAAAAATAGGATAAGAATATTACATTTAAAATATAATTGAAAAAGAACTTAAAAATAAATGTATTTTAATTTAAATAAAATAAATAAATATTATTTTTGCTAATATATAATGATATAATTAATAATAAATAAAATTACTTTATTAATGTATTTATTAAAAATAAATCTGAACGTTTTTCTTTCTTGCCAGGATTGTTATGGATTATTTAAATATTAAAATAAAAAACACTATTTAAAAAAATTAAAATAACCTATTAAATTTATACATTTTGAATTAATAAACAAATGAGATTCATTAATTAACAATTAATTTAACCAAATGAGTTATTAATCTGTTCCTGTATTTACTTCCAGCTTCCCAACATGTTTGGCGACCTGCGTGCCACCTTCATCGCACTCATGATTGGCTCGTACGCGTCCTCGGCTGTCACCTTTCCTGGGGTCAAGGTTTGTTAGATTAAACAATCTGGTGAAAAAAAAAGATTATAATGCCACATTATGTTCTTAGATACTAACTGTTTCTCTTTAAAGGTTATTTATGACCTTGGTGTGACCTTCATCACGATTCTGGTGGTCTGGGCAGGCTGTGCAGGCCTCGTCTTCATCAACTGCTTCTTCAACTGGCCCTTGGAGCCTTTCCCTGGACCCGAGGACATGGACTACACGTAAGGAACACACATACACAAAACTCATATGCATCAAACATCCACAATATCTGAAACTCATTCTGTATGTGTTTTCTCTCTCTGTCTATCCAGTGTCAAGATCAAGTTCAGTTGGCTGGGATTTGACCATAAGATTACAGGAAAGCAGTTTTATAAGCAGGTGACAACAGTAGGCAAGCGTCTTAGCGTGGATAACACTCAGAAACAGAAAGAGCTTGCCAAAGAGGGCCAAAAACTCTGCCTGTCCACCATGGACCTGGAACTGCAGTGTGAGGCCAAGGAGGAAAGTAAGTGATCGTCTGACACAGGAAAATGCCAAATATATGTTAATATGAAAGGTCAATAACTAATTTAGACTAACTCTGTTTTCCTTTACTTCCTTGTAGCTCAGTCATTCATGAAGAGCATTTTCAGCCCTCTCTTTATGTTGAGTCTGGTGACCATGTGTGTAACTCAACTGCGTCTCATCTTCTACATGGGAGCCATGAACAACATCTTGGAGTCCCTCAGTGGAGGAGATTTCAACACTGGTGAATAAGCATGTTTAAATATGTCTGAAAAAAAAAAAGTATGTTTGTATATCAGAAAAAATACAGCAATTCTGCATCACAGTATATTTTCAGAGCAACAACCACAACAACAACAAAAAAAACATTTTAATTACGATAATTCAGATATGTAAATACAGAAAAAAAAAGAAGAAGAAAAAGGTCAGTAAAACTCCCTACTAAATTGCTTTTTTTTTAAACTATTTTTGCAGTTGAGAGAATGGAATTGGGTAAGAATCTCAGTTGCACAGTAGAAACCAGTAGAGCGTGTCTTTCCTAAAGCTCGTTATTCTAGCATTTAACCTTCTCCTGTATTCACGTCAAGCGTAACCCATTCCCTGCCCACCTGTGCTCTGGGCCGTAACGCATACACAAGTCTGTAGAGTGCCATAAACTCAGCCATTAACCAGAGTAGTTATTAACTAACCTCAGACGTTATCTATTAGACAGTGTTATAATCTCTCTCTCTTGCTCTCTCTCAGTGAGCCTCTACACCTCCATTTTTGGCATGATGCAACTCTTGTGCTTGATGACAACGCCGGTCATTGGTCAGATTATGGACTGGAAGCTAAAAGAATGCGATGATGGAGAAAACGATGAAAAAGAGCCCAACAAGTAGGTTATGAAACACTTTTAGGTGATCTATGGATGCGAACGTGACCTAAATAATCATTTTTGAAGCTCAAAATACTAAAAAAATCAGCTGTTTTAAATGTGTTTGTATTTGGTCTTTGTCTCCAGGGACGAGCCCCAGCCCAAACGCAGAGACAGACAAATTCAGAAAGTCACCAATGCCACACGGGCCTTCATCTTCACCAACATCCTCCTTGTCGGCTTTGGCATCACCTGCCTAATTCCCAACCTCCCTCTTCAGGTGTGTGTTACGTATGGAATTAATCCTGCAATATGATGAATATTACAGGTTGATACATTCAATGTTGCACAGCGCATAGTGTTTTTTTAAATAGTATGCAGTATGCCGTGTATAATATTTAGTATTTTTAATTCAGTTGAAACAGCAGTTATTTTTAAACAAATTTTCAGTATGCTGTTTTGTACAAGTGTTGTTATTGTTAAACATGACTAAAACTAAAGCTATTAAAATTAGTTTTCAATAATTGAAATCGAGTAAACAAATTTTGGATGAAAAAAAAAAACTTAAAATGAAAATTAGAAATGTTGAAATAAGTTGAAGTTGAAGTACTAAAATAACTAAAACTGAAATAATAATAATAATAATAATACTTAAAAAAATAAACATTAAAATGACTAAAATTACTAAAACTAAAATTAAAATACAAACTTAAAATACAGTACATTTAAAACATTCATAAATACTATAATAAATAACACAGTTGTACACTATTTTTCTTGCAAATGTAATATTCATGTATATTCTGTGCATGTATTTGCATAGCGTACACAGTATTCCTAGTACATATTGTAGCAATATTAAGAGTAGTATGTTAGCATGCTATTTTGTTTATGTGCAGAAGAAGGCTATTGCTAAATTTGGAATAGCATACTACTCTTAATATTTCTTCCATATGGAGTAGTATGCAAGTATACCATATAGCAGAAATCGTAAGACTAGTATGTACACACAGAAAAAAGAAGCAACAATCACTTGTTATTGGTGCCTTGAGTGTCTGCTTAGTTGTACAGCATCTCCCCCTAGTGGCCTAATTATGAAACTAGCACGTCACCTGCTAATTTTACCATAAGAAACAACAGAACAGACAGGTTTATAATGTATGATTTTGTCATTTAACCCATGTCATCTCTCTCCAGATGCTCTCGTTTGTCCTTCACACCATCGTCAGAGGCTTCATCCACTCCGCCATCAGTGGACTTTACGCCGCCGTGTGAGTTTATCAATATTATCTGTAAAACATGATTAAATTCCGCTTGTGATCATCACTTTTTTTTTTTCATCATATAATATGATAACAAATAATCTGTTTGCGCGTCTGCAGGTACCCATCATCTCAGTTCGGCAGTCTGACAGGAATGCAGTCATTGGTTAGCGCTGTGTTCGCTCTGCTGCAGCAGCCTTTGTTCATGGCCATGATGGGACCACTGAAGGGAGACCCACTCTGGGTATGACACACACAACAGAGAGCTTTAGTAATACTAAATGGATTAAATGTCCGTCAGGCATGTTTTGACCTCCTCTTTATGTTTTTTGTTTTTTTTAGGTGAATGTTGGTCTGCTGGTTGTCAGCATGCTGGGCTTCCTGTTACCACTCTACCTGCTGTTCTTCAGGAAAACCCTGCACAAAAAGAGGAAGGAGAAAGAAAACGATGCTAAAATCTATCTCAAAATCAATGGCACTGACGTACCAGAGGCATTTGTATAAAGAAAGCAGATAAAGGGAAAAACAAAGGCATGAGAGAATCATCACAGCTACACAAAAACACAAAAACAGAGACGATTAAATACTTTTGTGCCTCTTTCTTAGAGGTTTACTGAGTAACTCAATGGACGAAAAGAGGAATGAGAGAGACAGAAAGCAACCCTCTTCTTCGCCATTTTATTTTCATTTACACAGATATTTTACATTACGCATTTGCACATGTGATAAAGTTTCAACCCTGACAGTTTCTCCATAAAACCAGGGGCATTTCAGTATACAGCATTATATACACCGTTTATGCCAACTGGACGTGAGCCAGCCTGGCCTGCACAGACGGTGTTATGATGCCAGTTGGCTGTCTTGCCCAGGAACACCCAAAACAGCCCTATTCATTCAACTAAACTTCACAAGGGATAAACCATTACAGCCCCAGTTTACACTGTAATAGTTGTGGTGCAATGCAGTTGTATTCACTAAAGACCACATTTTTCGTTTATAATGATCCACAAAGGGCTTTTTACATTTTTCTATGAAACAATGTTGTATTTATGAAAAAGATCTGTGATCTCTTTTGATCATAGGTCCTTTATGAAAGCCACAATTTGTGCATTTCAGTTTGTATATATGTTTTTACACTGCATGCGCATGAGATGCATACATAAAAGAGGCTGAAATGCTTATGATCTGCGAGGTGTTGGCTGAAAGCTGAGGCGCAGATGTCAGGGCAACAACAGCACTTTTAACACATGTCCCATAACCCCTCCTCATGACCCATAATTCCCTTTTTCTGTCTTTCACTAACATTCTATGATAGTTCAGAGTAAATTAAGAGTCATTTGTGTCACTGATCTTAAGATCAAGTTATAATGGACCTCTGAAGTAAAATATTATACAGAAAGCACAACTTAACTCACAAATGTGCCTTTTGTGCGGTTTACAGTGAAGTTAACGATGCTGATGATAGCTGATGGGAGGACTGGAGCCACGGATACTGTGGAAATGTTTTGGTGTTGTGTGTAATGTATTTATTTCTATAAAATCTAATGGACCATATGGACAATGCAGCCTTATTTGCAAAGGTTTTTATATGAACTTACATCTCAGTGTTTCAGTGGCTGTTTGTTTGTTGTTTTAAAAACCTTTATGTATTGTTCTATATGGCATTACTGTTGAGGACTACATATTCAATAAAATGTGTAATTATTGCTCATTTTTGTCATGTATTGTTTTTACTGTGAAAACATTATAATAGTTTCTATTACATTCATTGTAGGATTAAATATCTTTTTCAAAAGCATAATCAATTAAGAAAAACATTCAGTTGTTTTTCCTTATGAAATCTGATATTACTAGAAAAATACAAAACCAAAACAATTTTTGTAATTTTTAAGATTTAAGTTTCTTTTCTAATAATGGAAATCGTGAGATTGTAATTCTTTCATAGACAGGCCTAGTTTTTAACAGTAACAAATGAAAACAAATCTGCATAGTGTTGTAGGAAAAAAATTACTTCTTTTTTTTTCACTTTGCTACAATGAGCAATTCATTACATGAAAATGATTTAGGCTAGTTATTTTAATTACTTAAAATATTATTTAATCTGAATACTTCATTTGTAATATCACACTATTTATCTAACACCGTATAACAAATCAAAACAAAACAACAGTTTTGTTCTGCTTTCTAATAACAGAAATCATAAGAATAATTGTGATTAATTGACAGACCTAACAGTAAACAAATCTGCATAGTTTTGGGGAAAAAATAGATAATATTTTATTTTGAGTTTAGTACAAGCAATAACAAGTTAATTATTTCATTTAAATTTTAAATATTTATTTAATGTGTTTAATTTTTCGTTGTAATATCACACTTATTTTTCTCACATTGTATTAATGAGTCTTTATAAATGAAAACATTAAAAAAATTGTAAGCGGACTCTTAATTATTAGTTAGAAATCATATGAAAAATGTTCTATACATAATTCGATTTCTAGTCTACTGCACAAATACATCTGGTTTTGAAATATTTAAATAAACCGTGTGAATGGGAGACACTGTATTTAATGTGCTTTGAGAAACGCTTTGATGGAGGGCAGATCATACTGTAACTACATGAAAATATTCGGATGGTGGGATCTGTCTCCAGATGTGCTATAAATAGTCTGCACCAGTTTATCGTTACATAATTTGTGACAGATTGTAATTTGACTGATACACAGAGAGCTATGCGACCACCAGCTGTTACATCACACAAGCGACCACCTCAGACCATCCATCGACGCTCGTCCCCGTTTTTTATTTTATTTTTTTAAATAAAGCATTCAAACATCATCCATGACGTCACCACTCTATGTCACAGCATCAGGGCTTGTCGTTAACGCCCCCTCGGCCCTGATCAGGAAGTGAATCTGTGGGAAATAGAAAAACGGTCCCTAGAATGACATAGAAGCGGGTGAGGTGGGGTAGACCGAGACACCGGGACTAACGCAGGACTCGACACCTATTTGGCTTCATCCAGGTGCAAAAGCACGTTATCTTTGGAAGGCATAAAGCACCGGAGAAAATGCTGATTAAAGAATTGTAAGTGCAGCGTTATTTATTGATCTGATTGTGATGGGAGCATCCTGTCTGTCCAATGCAGCGCAGGTACCAGAGGCCATGGCGACATTGTAAACTTGACTTTCTGACAGTTCACATTTAAAGCCCTTGATCGTAAATATTTTTCAGGTATTTAATATACAAACGGCTTTGGTACATATTTATCAATTTACCTTGGCCTACAGTACACTTCGTGTGTGTTTAAAAACGTGCATGTGGTGCAATTATAACGTTACCTCTGAATATGAATATATTTCAATCAATTAAACGCCTTTGAGTGGATGTTTTGGCACAGATATCTCATCAACCGAGTTTAATTGTCTCTACATTGTGTTATTGATACGCTCGTGAAGGTGAAACGGAGCGAATTGAGCACACCGCGTTCCGATATTAAATGGCGCCTGTGTATTTATACTAATACTTTCAGAAACATCCCGTTCATTTATTATCATATGGCCATGAGATTGCTATATTCACATTTTCATTAAACCGTCCGCGCTTTTCAGAACAACTGGATCCGTTCACCTTGCGCACGTTTCATTGAACCGCGCGACTAACTAGCCTATAACTTGATAATATACTCCAAACCTCCCCCCGCCAGTCACCTTTGAAATATTAATAACCTTTCGTTGCCCACAAACACACAAGGCACCGTCAGAAAGGTCAATGAAACCATATGAGGCTTTCTATTCATCTCCAAACAGTGCAGATAATATATAGCCTAATTCAGAATATTTTCTGACGTCCTTGGTGGAAAAAATACCAGCCTGATATGTTTATTTGATTTAGATGGGGTTTTGGTAGTGTACAATTTTTTTTTATTACTTTTAAAATCATTCCTGTTAGTAATTTGCAAGGAGCCTGATCCGTTATCAACACAAATCGTTTTTTGGCGCCCCTATCGTGAAACTATGGCAAGAACGTTTTCAACAAAGACTAGCGATAAGGTGTAAAACCACTCTAATAAAGTGAAACATATGACTTTCGTCTGGTTAGGCTGGGCCACCAGTTAACAGGCAAACCATCATGTTTTCCTCATTTGTCCTTCAACGATACCTCTTTCTCTTATATTCCGCTGTCGCCCGCACACGTCTTCTGAATGACTCAGCCACGAGCTGAATCTCTTCAACGCGAAGCGTGTAATAAGGACGCGCCGCTATTATGTGTGATACGTATCTCTCTGACGTCACTTTCAGCCACGTCATGGAGATTTGAAGGAACAGAGAGGGTTCCGCAGAGAACGAGGTGTCCGTTATGCAGCATATGTAGTTTATGACTTTAAATAAAAACATGCTATCTTCATATTTTAGAAACTAGCCTACTGCAATAAACAAATGGCACGTTTTTAAGAGGATCAGGTTGTCTTGGCTCTAAAGTGGATGCTTGTACACCTCAGGTCCCTCAGGGTTTGCTGTCCATGGTACTTTGTGCTTTCACTAAAGCATTAAAAATAACTTTCAACACTAGAAATACCCCTGGGTAAAGAATTAGACCTTTAATGGGAATTGAAATGTGGTTTAAGTTTCAGTTTTGATAAGTTGTAGGGCAGGCTATTTAATTAAGATTAAACTCCAGGTGTCATGTTTATTTAATTATTACATATTATTTAAATTAGTGAATGTAAAAGGGTGTTTAAAAATAAATGAATAAATGAAATAAATCTTGATATTTATAATTAAAAAATCCATGGACATTATGCATTAAACTGTCTACATTTTTGTGCTTTTTTTAGACATCAGTGGTCTACTTTTTTTGTGAGCTAAAGCAGTGACCTCTTGTTCTGTGTGTCTCTTTCTCACTGCTCTGGTGACACTTTCCTGTGATCTAGTTCACATCCAGGATCCAGACACAATGTCTGATGGGTCTCTTGCATATCTTAATTGCCATAAAGACCATTTTAGTCACACTTGCCTCAATGTCATTTTAATTTTACAATCTATACGGGTGTATCTTAAATGCACTTCTGGCCTGTGGAATTTAAGAAAATAATCTCTAGCTAGCTAGTTTATTTCATTTGTCTCACTAACAATAACAATTCTGTCATTTTGTCTTTTTTGTTTTTTTTTCCTGAAAATGAAATGTTAAATATTTTTGGAATAAAATGGCCAACTAATTTGATAGCTACATTTTATGTATCTTAAATACACACAATTAAATAATATTTGTACACTTTTGGTGTTATTCAACAAAATTATAGTGTGATTGAGTTTCATTTATAAAATTATACCTTAATTTTTCGTAGTTTTCTTCACACATCATGTCTCATATTATATTTTTATTGACACTGTTGTCGCATTGGTAAACAATACACTAACTTGTAAAAAAAAAAACCTTTACCAGTGGATAAAAAATTGTTGGCTGTGGTAGAAATTATGACACAATTGTGGGACAATTGTAATTTGTGTAAAAATATTTTTCACAATAAATATTGAAATGGTTTATGATTATTTAATTGCAGAATTCAAAGTATGGCTTTAGGACAAGGGTAATGTAAAATCTATAAATAAAACAGTAGAAAAGTAAAAAAAAAAAATGCAACCTTCATATAAAAAAAAGAAAATCACAAAAACATTAAACATCATATGTAAAATGTCACATTATGATGACTTAATCTCTAGACGGATGCAGTATTTTTTCACATATGTAGTAAAATAGCGACGCTGACCTTTCAGCTGAATATTGAATTTCACAATCTATTTGTAAACTTGATTGTCTCGTTACCGAAACAATAAGTATACAGCGAAATGCAGCCATGCGGGCAAAGGCATTTATAATGCAGAAAGTAGCCTGGGTGTCATGGAGGCAGAGTACATGAGACACCAAATCCAGCATGGTGACCGATAGTCCCTGTTCAGGACACAGGCAGCACTCAGGAGGGCAAGGTGACTCCTGCTATTAGCAGATGCTAACAGCAAACAGTAAAACACACTTGTGTGACCATGGCGTTTGTTGATAAATGGTGAAACTTCCCACTGAGTTTATGAAGCATCTGATATATGGCTAGGACAGAAATTCCCTCATGCGCAAAAGGACTATATAGTGCAAAATCATGTTCAAAATCAGTATTTTTGACTTGTTTTCTAGTAAAAATATCAGAACTATCCTAACCACTTACTCTCATTAAAGTATGGACTTCTTTGTCAATGATCTTGTCAGACATTAAAGGTGAACCTGGTCCTTGACTTCCTGACAAGCTCATGCTTCATGTCAGAGAAGCCCTCATAAGTCAGATGTAGACAGTCCTGAGGTGTGTGTGTGTGTGTGTGTGTTCATGTCATAAGGCAGATAATGAGAGAGCTGTGCTGGAATGGAGCGCAGTAGTGGTGTTGTCTTACTCCTAAAAAGTATTGATTATATATGCAAGCTGCACAGAGTTTGGTACGCTGCCAACTACCATCTAGAAACAGTACACAGATATCATAGATGTGCTTGACAAGGAATAGCTTTTATAGGTTTGCTAATATGAACAGATTCATTTTGTATTCTGATACTTCAAGCCACTAAATATAAGGTGTTGAAGAGACCAAGCCAAGCAGGTCTTGATGCAGACGTTGCGTTATAGTTTCTCTATCATTTTTGTAAGTGCTGTAAGTTATGGTTTATTAGGAATATGAGATGAGCTGAAAATGACTGTAGAAAAACATCAACAAAGTTGCTTTGAAACAGAGGGTATGTAACATTAGAGGCAGTTTCCCAAACACTGCTGTCCACTGTGCACTGAGAAATTCTTCTAATCTTGGTGATTAAATACATTTTCAAAAATCTAATGAAAAAGTGCAAAGATGACTTTATATTTAAGTTATATTTAGTTTATATTTTAGGTTACTTATGCTGGTTTAAAAATATAGTATTAATATATATATATATATATATATGTATTTTATATACAGTACATATTTTATATTAAAATATATGCATACTGTTCAAAAGGTTAGGGTCATTAAGGTTTTGTAAAAAAAATAATACTTTTATTCAGCAAGGGCACGTTAAGTTGATCAAACATAACCATAAAAAATATAATGTTACAAAATTTCTATTTCAAATAAATGCTGGTCTTTTAATTTTTCTATTCATCTAAGAATCCTTGGGAAAGAACATGGTTTTCACAAAAATATTAAATTAATAATTAATTAACAGTAATAAACAATAATAAATTACAATTGAAAATATATTAAAACAGAAAACATATATTTAGATATTTAAAATTTTAATGCTATTTCACAATATCACTGTTTTTACTGTATTTTATTAAATAAATGCAGCATTAAAAAGAAATAAACTTTCCTTGGCAATTCCTTGGCATTTGTATGTTGTGGTTATATTTTATGAAATTGTCAAAATAGTGGCTGAAGAAAAATCCTATTAATTTGTGGAGTTTTAAAACATGATGGTAATAGCAATAATGATACAGCAAACATGCTTATTATTGGTAGATTTGAAATAATTTGTTTTTCTTGTTCTCTTGCAGTCGAGTGATCCTACCGATTTCTGTGGAGGAGGTAAGTGTAAATTGAGTGTGTGTGTGTGTGTGTGTGTGTGTGTGTGTGTGTGCTTGTGAACGCTGGTAATGACACTGAATCCAAACATTGTTTTGGTATGTGTGTGTGCGGTGTCAATCGCTGATTTGCATGTGTTGACTTCGGATGACTCAGTCTTAGCTGGTTTTGACAGCAGAGGAGTCACGATGTAATTTCGTGATGCTCTCCATGTGCACTAAGCCATAGATCTGCACACCACTCTGTCATTCAGTCACTTATGACTCAGTTATCTCAGCAAGAGGATGAATCTTTCTCCTCTCATGCTGTTTGATCCCATACAGCCCATGCGGAAACACTAATGCATAATTTCTCTCACTATGTGCCAATATTTATAGCTGTGCTTTTGGCCTTGTCAGCAGTTCTCACATCTTTGCTTCCTCTCTGTCTCTCATTCTTTCCTCTGGCCCCATTCAGACTGAGCATTCCCTGTGTCTCCCAGACTCCTCATTTCCCATGATCCTCTAGCGTGTCATTCTATTCAGTGATCTGGTCGTGAATATCTAATGAGTTACCTGATACCACCTCCTTCTGCTTCTCTTTCTCTCAGCTTTTCTCGTCGTCTAAGATCAAGCACTTGCTGATCTGTAAAGAAACAAAATTTAGACTTTCACATTTATGCTTTTGAGGTGGCAAAATGGGGAAGTGACAACTGCCAAGATTATCAGTTTATTCTGAGCATTAATGGTGCAGTGTGTAATTTCTAACCACAAATCAGAATCAGAATATGCTTTATTCACCAAGTGTGCTTTTTGCCTGAACGATGACTGACAGTTGGAATTTGCTGTTTTGTCAAGTTTTGCAAATATTACATACTGCAGCTTTAAAGGAATAGTTCACCCCCAAAATTAAACAGATTTGCCAGAGATTTGGAGAAATGTAGCATTACTTGCTCACTAATGGATCCTCTGCAGTGAATGAGTGCTGCCAGAATGAGAGTTCAAACAGCTGATAAAAACATCACAATAATCCACACCACTCCAGTCAAACAAATATCATCTTGTGAAGTGAAAAGCTGCGTGTTTGCAAGAAACAAATTCATGAATATAGCTGCAAGCAGCAATTCGGGGCCAAGCACAGCATGTACTGCCAGAATAATAATCACAGCAAACTCATCAAAGCACATCACATCGAACAGTCAAAGGCTCCAAAATATGCATCTCAAAAGCACAAAACACTCTCAAGATTTTGTATATAAGTGTGCCACATGTTATGTGCTACACTGGATTCGAACCCACAACCTGGAAGGTTCGGGGCCTGTGGCTCAGCAGAGTGTGTCACTCAATCATCATGCTGCTGAGGAGAGCTTTCAGTGTAGAATGATCACATAAAAGCAATACTTAGCATGTTGACCAGATTAGCATGCTAAAATACGTTATTATACTAACATATTTTCGGTTAATCTGATAGCTGAAGAGTCACATTATATAGAATGGCAACTGATTAGCACTTGAACAAATGACCACTCTAAGCTAACTAACTAATAAGCACAGTGAACCAGGGAATATCACAAATCTGTTCAGTCATGTCTATGTGGCTCGGTCCAAAGATTATCTGATCAGATTTTGAACAGAATTGGACAAAATTTGTAGGAGGAGTAGTGAAAAAACAGTTTTTCATTTACTTGAAATGGCAGACAAACAAAATGTTGAAAACTGAGATATCATCAGACTCGGCATAAGCCAAGGAATGTATTAACACAGAGAAAACAAAATTAGGACAATGCTTCTAAAAGTTATAAACATTTTTTTTTGCTAAAATCCTTATATCTCTGGAAGACTAGGTGGCGTTGTCTTCAAACTTCTCAGGTACCTTCAGGACATGATATCGATGATCCCTACCAATGTTTGTGCCGAAACGTAAAATTGTTCAAAAGTTATAGCAATTTATGACAAATTTCAAAATAGCAGACAAGCAGTTCATCTCATTCTGGCAAAATTTGTTATCCTTGGATTCGGCATGACCCAAGGAATCCACAATCATTCAAAAGTTATAAGCAAAAATGTAAATTTTTGGTATTTCATGACTCATAAGTGGTGCTGTTCCCAACTTTGGCATGGACCCTCAGATCATGGTGTTGATAAAGTGTACCAAGTTTCATTTCAATTGATCAAAGTTTGGCCGAGATACAGCCTCTGAACCAATTTTGGGTCAACACTTAAGTTCGTAACACCATAACTTTTGAACAAAGATGAATATCAAAATTCTGTTCAGTAATTTCTGTGCAGCTCAGTCTGAAGATCATTTGAGCCAATTTTCGTAAAAAGTGGGCAAATTTTGAAGGAGGAGTAGCGAAAAACAGTCCAAAACAGTTCTAAACAAATATGTCTGTGAATTTTGATCTGAGAGGACAAGAGGAGATAGACTTTTTCACTGGAGGAAGCATTGCTATGAATTATGGACAGAAGCATCAGTTTAAAGTTAAAATGCTTCGATGGATTTGTTTCTTACAAACATGCAGCTTTTTACTTCACAAGACATTAATAATGGACTGGAGTCATGTGGATTACTTTTGGATTATTGTGATGTTTTCATCAGCTCTGTTGGCACCAATTCACCATCCACTGGTGAGCAAGTAATGGCCTGTGGGTGAATTTTCAGCAAATTTAAACTATTCCAGCTATTAATAAACTATTCCTTTTAAGATCCAGTCACATGATTAACCATCTGATCACATAAATCACCTCAGCTGCCTTTAGACTACCTGACTCCAGCTGTTCATGTTTCTATAAATCATATCCTAGTAATTTCCTAGTAACTTTGGACCGACATGAGCATGTGGGATCTGCCCTGAGGGACAAAACCTTATCTGGGCCGGATTATGCAAATTAAAAGGCTGCTTCCACCTTGTGAGGCCCCTCTTTTCATCTGCACTCATTTTTACATACCTCAGCATATTCTCCAAAAAAGTACTGCCAGCCAAGATTCATTTGGATAATAGTCTAATCAGTTCTGTCACATAAAATATGTCTGGGACGAGACATTTTAATGCAAGTCCTTCCTGTCAGGTCAGAGTCTCCTCCTAGCACCCAGTGGGAGTTTAAAAGGTTAAAAAGGAGATTTTGCATTGCATTGCATTCATTAAGACTGCACAATTAAATGGCTGTTGAGTCGATTCGATTTAAATTGAGTTGAATGAACCAAGGGTGGGTGAACATACCTAGTTTCACTCTTTCTTCATCATTTTCATTGATTAGTGTATTTTCAGAGTAATGATCCTTATTGTTGAAACACTGTCAGTAGCATAAAGAGATCGCAGATAAAATATGATTGGCTGCTTCAGTGCCCATTCCTGGAAAATGGACATTTAAGGGAAGCCACTTCATTTATAAAGGTTGATCTATGATTCATAGAGGTTTACTTTGATACTTGGAATATGTAGATCTTCAAAAGTATAGTTTCACTGCAGTATTTTTAAATGCTGTATAAACTATGAAGTATTCTTATAAGCCTATAGTTAAGCAATATCACATGAGCAAGAGTGTCGTCATTTCAGCAAGACTGTAATTATATTGATTCAATAAAAAGAAGCCAATACTTTCATTTCAATGTGGAAGTAAGCTATTTCCTGTCAATGCTTAAGATTTCATTCAAGACTTAGCTGTTAATTAGATTAACAGTGCAGTAAACCTTTATGATTATGAAAATAAAATAATATGATAATAAACATTACTTAACTATATTATTGTACACCAAAAACAACTGGAATCGTCTGACACAAGAAGCCTTGCACATTGTAGTTGAAAAGGTCTGCAACTTCTCTTACATTAAAATAAAGTGGATTGAGTAACTTTTAGACCGAAAATTCAAAGAATAAACAAAAAGTAACTGCCTTTATTCTTTCTGTTTTAAAGATATTTTAATATTAATTTGTCTGTATATTGAGTGTGTTGTAGGTTTGTGTTTTATTGGTTGATTTCTCCCCTCTTCCCACCCTATACACTCCCACTTTTCCACAGCTTTACATGCCCATTTCTGGAGTCTTCTTCAGATCTAAGGTGTGAAAGACCAGTGCTGAAACAGGGGGGGTTTCATGACACTATATGGACCAAATAAGAATATGTATTTTGTGCCTTTGCGCTGATTTGCTTTGACATTATGATGTTTTAATTGTTGTAAGAACATGTTCTTTACATGTATTGAAAACACTGAATGTGAAAACATTTTGTGTGACACATCTGCTGGATTTACGAATAAACTCTTACAGTGTTAAAATGTACTATGTGACTAAAGTACATATTTCACACTTTCAAAAATGTTATTTTAACTCCAAAATAGAGGGAGTCATATATACATTTCAGGAGTGTTAAATTTGACTGAGATTGAGTTAATTGTACACTGGCTTTTTTGCTGTGTAGGCACAATATTTTCAGTAACTTATACGCCAGTGTAACAGTCCCAAACAAAGTCAAAGCAGAAGCATTGCGCATCTCAGAGCAACACGTAGTAGTGTGTTTCGTTCCTGAATGAATTTTAAAATGAATCGGTTAATTGAATGATTCAATGACTCACTCACTTTTTTCATTGCTGAATGAATTAAAGTTTTGAATCAATCTTTTGACTGAATGATTCAAACTCACACATAAAGACAGTCACTTATCTTATTTTATTTGTATACCCCTATGAAGGCATTTAAATTACAAATATTTTATTTAACATTTAGTCAACATATTGTTGACTAATATTTCTTAGATTACTTGAGGAGAAAACAAGTATCTGGCCTATGAAGGCATTTAAATTACAAATATTTTATTTAACATTTAGTCAACATATTGTTGACTAATATTTCTTAGATTACTTGAGGAGAAAACAACAAGGATGAAATCTGGAATCCATATTTTAAAAACATGGAATTATGATATGATGTTAATTCCCCTCATTGAAAATTTTGGCCCTCTGTGCCTCCCATTTTCATACAGTTCCCAGAATCACCACTGGTCATTCGTCTTAATGCTTGCAGATACGAATAAATAATGACAATCGACTTTCTTTTGAGCACTGAAAGCAGAGAGCAGCTCTTGTCAGATAAGCTCACATGAATTAAAGCCCTGATCCTTCATCTGCTTTCAGGAGCCTTAAAGACACATTTTATTTGGCGGATGTTGTTTAAATCAAGAGGGCAAAATGCTATTCCTGGAGTCCATTAATTCAGCAGGGAATGATGGATTAAGAAAGCTTGCTTGCTTAAGGGCAGCTGGGCAGTTTATGCCCCCTTTATGACACTCCCTTATTTCTACCCTTCTTCCTCTTCCTGTTTATAATCATACACACACGCACACGCACACGCACACGCACACACACACACAAACACCACAAGCTGTCTGTCATTGTAGACTGGCTCTGCGCGTGAGACATCCTCTGTTAGCCTGTCGATTAGTCTGAGCTCACATCTTTTAGCCTGTCCATCACCATCAGTGAACTATAATCAGGGTTTAACCATACTACACATCACATGCTGCTCATTCAAAAAGATTAAAGTTTTATGCAGTGTCACTTTAAAAATGGATATATGGCACACTGATACAAAAAATAGCACACCCACTGCAGACGAAACCCTGTCTGATGCTGTGTGTGTGTGTGGACTGCAGAGAGAGTGGGATGAAAATGTGTGATATAGGTTGGATTTTCATAGAGTGCTGCAAAGTGACGCATTCTGCTACTGGCCTCTGATTGGCTGAGAGGACAGAGGAAATCTCTGATTGGCAGAGGAATGATGACACTGCATGTAGATACAGAACCACACACATAGTCCCACACACTACACAGGAGGCATGAAATCCATCCATCCATCATCTATATATCTATGTATATATGTATCCATCTATGTCTGTATGTATATATGTATCTATCTATGCAATGGAGTGTGTCACCGCACTCTCCTCCCTCTCTTTCTTTTTCTCCCCTTTTCTCCTCTATCTGTCATTCTCTGGTGCCAACTGGTATAAATAGGCAGTCTGCTTTGTGTAGTCATTTTCTTTCCTCTGTTCTCTCTCTCTCTCTCTCTCTCTCTCTCTCACACACACACACACACACACACACACACACACACATGCTTATGCATGATGGATGGTGTGTTTAGGGATGAATGCCCACATTTAAACAGTCGGGCTGTTTCTAGGTAAGATTCTGGAGGTGTTTTAGCTTGAGTTTTTGCTGCTGGCTCAGCTTAGACTCTGAGTAGAGGCTGCTGACAGTGAATGTGTGTCAGGACACTAAATCTCTTGGTCTAACACACTCAATCTGCGCGCTTAAAAAAAGGTTCTTTACTGGCATTGATGGTTCCAACTTCCATGAAGAACTACGCTCTTCTAAAAAATGATTCTTCTATTGCATCGCTGAGAAAACACCCTTTTTGGTACAACATAAGACACAACAATATCTGCAGGTTTTCTCTTTTTATATTGTCATGCCCATTCAAATATGTATATTGTGAATGTTTTTTTAAATATATTTTTTATTTTTATAATTAATATGCTTGATTATTGTAGGGTTATAAGAAAATCTAAATTGCTTTAGCAAAGTCTAAATGTCCACTTTTGCAACCTTAGTTTGCAGATCCTCCTTTTAAATTGAAAATTACTGTCATTATTAGTAGATTATAATTGGAACTTTAACATGTTGTGATATGGAAAATCAGTCATTAGGCTAATGATACAATAGTAACACAAAACGTGTTTCATTTCAATACAGGCATCCCTAAAATTTGCCCTAGATAATTTGCCAGTCAGAAAGTGAGTTAGATGTTGATTCATTTTCCAACAGTTCAGTGTAGGATTTGATAGATTCAAACCGCTAACTGAAATCTTTTAACTATTCATTAAAAACCAGCTCAAAGGGGTCATTAGATCAGGACTGCACTGTACCACACTGTATGGATTCAATAAAAAGAACAATTTCATACGAGTAATTTGTTCAGGAATCAGACTAAACTGTTCCCTTAGTAAGACTTCTCTTTCCTTTCCTTTTTTTTTTTTTAATTGCAACATTCAATGCAGACCGCATCTCACATTCCCCTATTATGAATGTGATGCACTAAAATGTCCTTGTGCATGCGTCAGTGCTTATGCATTTGCAGAGTCTTTTTGCAGTGTTTACTGTGTATGGTGTGTGTGTTTATATTCTAACTATATTCTCTACAGGATTATATGTGACCCTGGAACACAAAACCAGCCACAAGGGTCAATTTTTCGAATAAAGAAGCTTTCCATTGATGTATGGTTTGTTAGGATCGGACAATATTTGGCCGAGATACAACTATTTGAAAATCTGGAATCTGAGGGTGCAAATAAAATCTAAATATTGAGCAAATCGCCTTTAAAGTTGTCCAAATGAATTCTTAGCAATGCATATTACTAATCAAAAATTAAGTTTTAATATATTTACAGTAGGAAATTTACAAAATATCTTCATGGAACATGATCTTTACTTTAGAAAAATCAATAATTTTGACCCACACAATGTATTTTTGGCTATTGCTACAAATATACCCCAGCGATTTAAGACTGGTTTTGTGGTCCAGGGTCACATATGTGATTAAGATATGAAAGAAGCCATTGTTTATTCAGCATAGATCAGCAGAAGAGGAGGGAAACACACACACACACACACACACACACACACACACACATGGTTGTCAGACTTTATTTGTGATTTGACATGAAACCTAACCTTGGCAAGCAGTTAGGAGATTTCGGTCTCTCCTCATTCAGCCTGCATGACTACAAAATAGCTGCCAGGGGCCCTTACCAAAATGGCTGCTGAGTGAACCGGTCTGCTCCAATAAGGATTTTGGAGTCAATTTGTGCACTTTTAAAGTATATTTAAGTATAATTAAGTATATTAAGTATATTAGTTTGACAAAATTATTTTGGATGCATCTTATTTTGGATACATCTTCGTATACACACACACACACACACACACACACACACACACACACACACACACACACACACAAAGAGGGAGGGAGAGAGAGAGAGAGAGAGAGAGAGAAAGAGAGTGACATGAGAACCCAGGATTAATAGACAATAGTGATCAAACACGCTTATGAAGTTTGAGATTGTGAAATGTATTTCTGTGTGTCTCACAGTATCAGGTCGGGCAGCTGTACTCAGTAGCGGAGGCCAGTAAGAATGAGACGGGTGGAGGAGAGGGCGTTGAGGTCCTGAAGAACGAACCCTACGAGAAGGATGGAGAGAAGGGACAGTACACACACAAAATCTACCACCTGCAGAGGTACTCACACTTACACAAACCCACAGACACATGAGTGTATTAATTAAAATGTGCTAGATTAATGTTAAAATTTAAAAACAATAGTGCACTAAAAATAGGTTCATCATTTACACATCCTGAAGTCGTTCCAGACCAGTACATTTTATCTTCCACAAGTAAAGAAGTTCAGCAGAATGTCCAGGTTTTTTTTTTGATACAATTGAGTTGATCTCAAATAATGACAAAAAGCACCATAAAAATGCTGTGTTGTAAGTTCCTCACTGAAAACTATCAAAATGCTTTAGAACACTCGGAATATGAATGATATGGACTACTTGTCTGTAGTTTTATGATGCTGTTCTGACATTTTGGTGCTTGACTTCTTTATTAGCTTAATTTTCTGTTACCTAATGCTTTAAAGCGGTAGTTCACTCAAAAATGAAAATTACCCCATCATTTACTCACCCTCAAGCCATCCTTGGTGTATATGACTTTCTTTTTTCAGACGAATCCAACCGCAGTTATATTTGAAAACGTCCTGGCTCTTCCAAGCTTTATAATGACAGTGGGTGGGTGTTGTTTTAATAGTCCAAAATAAGTCCAATAAAGCGCATCCATCCATAATAAAAAGTGCCTCACACGGCTCCAGGGGGTGAATAAAGACCTCCTGCAGCGAATCGATGCGTTTTTGTAAAAAAAATATCCATATTTAAAATGTTATCAACAGTAATCTCTAACTTCCGCTAGCTGTCATACGCACATTCACAATAGAATGCCGTTCCAGCGGATGACATAGGACGTCGGCGTAGTGCAAGTTTTGATCAAAAGTTAGAGGAAGTTAGAGATTACGGTTTATAAAATTTTAAATATGGATATGTTTCTTACAAAAACGATTTGCATCGATTCGCTACAGGTGGCTTTTATTCCCCCTCTCCCGGAGCCATGTGAGGTCATATAGCCTACACCTAGGATGGCTTAAGGGTGAGTAGATCATGGGGTAATTTTCATTTTTGGGTGAACTAACCCTTTAAGGTGATAGTGTGTGATTTAAATCAAAAGAAATGTAAAAACAATGAATATTTTCAAACAGATTTCCAAAATACCTCCCTTGTCTGTTATTGGTCAGACAAACAGATAGCCCCGCCCCAAACTCACACCAGAGCCACTGTTGCTATGCTGAACTAGTTAAATTGCTCAAACAAACAAAGTTTTGGAGAAAGTATTTTAAGAAAAAAACAACACATTTCTGTTTATTTTAGTCTACTTCTCATTTGCATTTTTGCTTTTTCAGTAAAGTCCCGTCATTTGTACGAATGCTTGCACCAGCGTCAGCACTGAACATTCATGAGAAAGCTTGGAACGCCTACCCATACTGCCGCACAGGTAACACACACACACATACCCACACACACACACACACACATACGCACACACACACACACACACTTAGAAGCTAAATTTCTTTTCATGTGCTCGTTGTTTCTCTTGCTTTCTTATTATTATGTCTTCCTATCTATTTCTCCTTGTCTCTTTCTCTGTCACTGCATTTGCGGGCACTGAATAATTCACTGTTTGAGCTGAGCAGGAGTGGAGTTACAGCACAGGAAACTGAGATTATATTGACACATTCCCTTCACATCATTCTCACAGCCGCATAGATGACAGACTCCCCATTCGCTAAAGTCTGCTATCAAGATATTTCTAAATCTCACTGCAGTGCTTAAAACAAGTCTACAGTTTTGTTTTTGAATACATGTAAAAAGTTGATATGGCAAGTATTGAGCTATACTGAATTTTTGAACGATTTAATAATATTAATATTGAATAACAAAATGATTTGTCTGAGATTATTGTCCAACCGTCAGCAAGCTACACACACACACACACACACACACACACACACACACACACACACACACACACACTCTTAACAGCTAAATTTCTTCTCATGTGCTCTTTCTTCCTCTTGCTTTCATATTATTATGCCTTCTTATCTGTTTCTCCCCGTCTCTTTTCTGTCACTGCATTTGCGGGCACTGAATAATTCACTGTTTGAGCTGAGCAGGAGTGGAGTTACAGCACAGGAAACTGAGATTATATTGACACATTCCCTTCACATCATTCTCACAGCCGCATAGATGACAGACTCCCCATTCGCTAAAGTCTGCTATCAAGATATTTCTAAATCTCACTGCAGTGCTTAAAACAAGTCTACAGTTTTGTTTTTGAATACATGTAAAAAGTTGATATGGCAAGTATTGAGCTATACTGAATTTTTGAACGATTTAATAATATTAATATTGAATAACAAAATGATTTGTCTGAGATTATTGTCCAACCGTCAGCAAGCTGCTAGAAGAAAGAAATGCGTGTTCCACTATTTGTCCAAGTCAGGGTGTCTAGATACAGTTACATTGTAGTGCGTTATAGGTATTCAGTTCCTTCACAGGAAAAGGTCCAAACATCTGTTTCAGGAGTCAATATGGAATTTTTTTGTATTCATTGCAAATTACAAAAGTTAGCAACCTAATTTTACTGTACCTTGTAAAATTAATAAATAATAGATTTTAAAAGTTGCAATAAAATGGAAGTCTTTATAGATATTTTCTTCTGTATTGTGGTGTACATATGAGTGTAACAGATTATTGAAAAATAAAATAATCCATCGGTTGCTGATTTTGTGGAGTTTGTGGGGTTGATTGTGGCGAGACCGGGTTTAATAAACATCTAAAGACTAAATCATTGGAGTCGAGATTGAGTTATGACATTTTTATCAAAAATTACAATGTCAAATTTAAATGATAACAATAATAAAGCACGCATAGACGAATCGTTGACAATAAGATGAATAACATGCATTTGAGAAATAGATAGGGTGAATTTTCATTTCATTTCATGCTGATTTTAAGTAAATCTGCTTTCAAATATTGAATCACAAACATAGAATCACTGACATTTTCCTCAAAAATAGCATTAGAGTAAAACAACATCTTTAAGCATTTCATGTCAAGTTAAGTTGCATGAAGTGAACAGAATTACTGAGCTTATTTATTGTTTCTCACCATTGTGACTATGAAACCTACAAAGCTTATCGTTGTATTATGAGAATTTATGAGTAATGATTCACGGTCTGATTAGAACTAATGTTGAGTTTGTATATGGATATTATTTCAGTATGTTTACTTCCAGACTAATATGTGACCCTGGACCACAAAACCAGTCATAAGGGTCAATTTTTTGAAACTGAGATTTATACATCATCTGAAAGCTGAATAAATAAGCTTTCCATTGAT